CGAACACCGCACAGCCGACACCATAGCAAGGGTGTTGTTGCCGGCGCGTGCTGATGGCTGTGGTGATGGCCGATGGCGTGTGGTGGTGGCCGGCGTGTGTGGTGGTGATTGAAACAAAAATAAATAGATTAAAGGGAGTGAATTAAGAGAAAAAGAGAGAAAATAAGAGGAGAGAGAAAGAGAGTTACCTTTAGGTATTCTCCAACTTGGGCAAAGTTTAATTTGCCCATGTGATGGGTATTTATTCTCTCTTTTCTAAAACCCTCCTAGACTTAAATTCCCTTTTTACTCTTAATGATCTATTTCCTAGTCAAACTAGTATTTTGACTTTCCTTAAAAACTCATTGACTTTAAAATTTCCTTTTATAAAATAATATGCCCCAATATTTCCATATCATGAAATAAAATATTGTCAAGATTGTTAAATAATTAAAAATAAACTTTTAATTAAAATAATTCTTTTTAAATTAATGAAACACCATAAATAATTCATTTCGAATTATTTAAATACTTTAAGAAATACTTATTTAAATTAAAATACGTATAAAAATATGGGGTATTACATATCAGCCTAGCTCGCTTGCCAGCAAACACTAGCACGAACTCAACGATCTGGTTTAGATTAATTTCAGGTGTTCTTTGTATGTCTTCCATGATCCTAAGCAATTAATGCACACGAACGAGTGAACTAGACACGATTTTCTTTGGTGCAACATTTCTTATGCACATGATTATTATTGGGTACCTAATAAGATAATTAGAAGATCCGAATCATTTGATGTGAAGTGAATATAAAACTGGATATTTTCATGTATGATCCTAAAAGTATGCAAGTGCTCAATTATAAGAGAGCTTAGCTTATAAGTTTTAATATTAGGATGTCTTTACAGTGAACTGCAAAAAATAGTCTACCGTAAGGAATTACTAGAGATTTAATGACAGCCAATCATTCTGCCACTTAGGATTATATGATATTTCTTTTTTTAAATTATAAATATATTAAAATAATCATTTTAATTGTATTTATTTTTTTATGTACTTAACATTTCATTTTTCTTACATTCATATTTATAAATTTTTATATTAAATTTTATTTTCTTTTATAATTTTCAAAATTATTTTTTTCATCTTCTAAATTCATTTTTATTTCTAAAAAATAAACATTAGAAAAAGGTTTTACATTATTTATTAATCATAAGACATCTTCTATTAATTGATGTTCTTCCCCTTGTTCAAGTGTTCTTCCTCCATTAATGACAACTTCATTAGACATCCTCCATTAATCGATTGTGCTAGGGTTTCAATTCAATTGTTGCCTCCCCAAATCTTTTCATAAATTCATTATTGAAATCTATTTGCTGCAAATTAGATTGTTAAATTATTTACTAAACTAGAATGTGCCCGTGCTAATGCACGGGTTATAATTAAGGATAGGATTAAAAAGATTACAAAGTATATAGATGCAGATAGTCTTTAATAAAACCAAAAATAGTAACAACCAAGAAAAAAAACAACTTGTTTACAAATAAAAAACAAAAAAAACAAAAAAAAATAACCAAGTCTTGATTCCCTAAAAAAATAAGTCTTGAAATATTATGCTGAATGAATCTAATTCTTAAATTTGATTGTCCGCGTATCTCTTGTTTCAGATAGTAGAATTCTTCCTCCCATCTTACTTGTAAAACAGATGCAATTATGATATCATCATTTTCTATATCGGGAACATTTAGTATGAAGGTGAATGTATTCATCAAACTTTCACTCAGATAATCCTCTAAAAAGTAGTCTCCAAATTCTTGATCATAAATAACATATTTAGGCATTATGCAGGTGTGTAATTCCTTAATATATGCTTAAAGGGTATACTTACATTATTTGTCATCGCTTGAATACTTGATATTGGACAACCGATAATCATCTCAGCATATTGGCCAAAGAGTACAACAGACAATGTATATGTAGCATCACCAATTTTTACATTGATTCTATATCTGTTATTATTAATATGATATAATTAGATATAATGATGTGTAAAGCAAGTTATAATAAATTTTTTAAATAAAATAAAACAAAACAAGTGAAAATACCTCGGCCTACTGAAAGAGGGGTCACACTCCACGCACATATCAGCTCTCCTTGAGTGTCGAGCACATGATTCATACCAAATAGGCGTAGAAGAATCAATGGATAGCACTTTTGCTAGTACTCGAAAGTATTTTACCTAAAAAAACGCATCAAATATTAAATACCTCATGTATAAGAAAATGTCAAACAAAATAATGGTTGATATACATACATTATGAGCCGTTGAAAACTGATTTAACTTGATCCTCTTAACATTAAACATCATTTCCTTTTGAGAGATACTATTGGCTAATATCTGACTCCATCTGATATGTTTTTGGACATATCCATCATCCGCATACCTATATGAGTTATATAAATACACAAGTACGCAACATAAACTTACAGTGTTGATTATGATGTTTTTAGGCTTACCATCCATGTAGATCATCAGTTTCATCAATATCAGGATCAATAAAAAGTCTGGTACGTCCAACAGTCGAAAGACATGCACCTATTGGAAGGTTAGTAAAAGTATTTAAAGCAATGATAATAAAGTAAATGACACCATAGTCTTTCTATGGTTATCTAATTTTAAAAAAAAAAATATTTTACCATAACAGGAGCCAACTGATACCATGGATGCACCCAACACATGATCCTGATTAAGCTCATGGAATAAGAAACGACCTTGATCATGAGCAAACCCTTCCCATATAGTTAGTCTCATTGTTTCCATGCTGTAAATCAAAATATGTGTTTTGATTTAAAAAAAAAACCCTTAACATTGCATAAGTTGTTATAATTACATAAACATATGGAAAATTGTGTAATATGCTCTTACTTTGTGTTGTAGAGTAACACATCTCTTTTGAATTGTTGTCTCCCACCTGAGACTCTATATGATTCAGACACATATATAACCAATCCAATAACATCTGTGTACATTCATCATTGAGAAAAAAATGATATGACCATTAAAACTCCAAAAATAATTTTAAAAATACAATAAATATTCATATTATGTATTTTAATTACTAAAAGACTCATACCGATGAGAGGAGAATGGGTATGTGAAGGTATTGTGGAATGTGGCAAAATTCTATAAACCTGAAATTGTACCTTGGGAGTTCATCACAATCATCAAGAACTTCTGTTATCATGGTCTTGTTACCAAATTTCAACCTCATTTTGTTATTGGCATATTTGTAAGATGTATCTGGAGGTATAAGCTCTAGTTGAATAATTGAATGAACCTTTCCTTGTTTCAAGATCTCTTTATATTTATAAATATCAGTATTCAATAATGTGACTTGAACTTCGTCCCCTTAGAAATTGAAAAATTCATACATAAGTGTCAAATAAATGAATATATTGGAAAATTAAATTAAGCAGTAATAAAAATATAGTTCAAACCTCTGAGTCAATGAATACCATACTCCATGAATGATGGACATAATTTGTACCTCTAGCTCTTACTTGTTCGTTGACCATCCATAATAAACGCACTCTCATATTCACTTTCAATGTAGAAAGGGTAATACAACAACATGGTGTGTATCTTGTGTCCATTTCCTGCATTTTAACATCATTGAAGTGGGCATAAAAAACAATTTACATAATATATCATTATCGATCCAACCTCGCACATGTATAAAGGTTATATAAATATTATAGATAATGAATTAAATCTATTATAAAATAAAATGGAAGCATTAACAAGACAAAGAGAATTATTATATAAAAAAAAAAGTATAGCTCAGAAATTACACTAAAACAAACATTATTGCTAAGAGCTACTAAATAAATGTTATAACAAAACTACATACATAGCTAATTTACACTGTTTAATACTTCCTTATACCTAATATTTTTAGTCAAACTATTAGAAACATCCTTCTTATTTTGTAGTAATATTTTTAGCGCGGAAGGAGATGTAACTCGTGACAGTGCAACATATAATTGGCCATGACTAAACACGGGCCTAGGGAGAAAAATGCCGACTTTGTTCAATGTTTGTCCTTGACTTTTATTTATTGTCATGGCAAAGGCTAATTTTTAATGGAAATTGCCTTCTTTTGAGACGAAGATCTATCTTCTTGTTAGATGGTGTTAGATCAATACGCGGAATCAGAACTGATTCTATAGCTCTTGGACCTGTGATCACTTGTGCTTCAATCACCCTATGACCCAACTTCTTGATTATAAGGTGTGTTCCATTCCACAACCCTATGGATTGGTTCATATTTCGCATCAACATTATTACTAGGGCACTAACTTTCAACTCTAAGCAATGATTAGGAAGACCTGACAAATTTAATGAGTTTAACAATTCCATAGGCTCCATCTTATCAAGGAACCCATCATCTCCTTTATGACCCAAAGTATCCGAACTATAATAGCTCTGCACATTTCCTGGTAGCATTGATAAAATTTTTAAATTTAACTCATCTACATCATTGTTTGTTGGTGCTAGAATTCCGCGATCCTTGAGGTACTCCCAATCCGTGTAATTTCAAGGAAAGTTGGGGTAGACAAAGTTAATGAGATTTTGCAAACCATGTTCATCATCGGTTATCAAAAAATCATGTGGCATTTCAATCCAATTTGGTTCCCCTTCCTCTGTAACGGGCACTCGCTATATCTCCTTCTTCAACTATTATTATCCAATCAGCAAATTCTCTAATTTGTTAAAGGGTATTGGAGGGAGCTTCACTTCGACATAAACGCATGTTTATCCTTAGGCACATAACTTGGCACTCTCTCCAAAAGGACGCTCGATGCAAGATAGTTGCAACAATAGATTCTCGTCCTTTATCTGGCACCACAGGAAGTATTTGTCTAAAGTCTCCACCAAGAACAACCAGTTCACCTCCGAAAACTCTATTGTCATTACAAATGTCCTTGAAATGTCGATCTACCGCCTCGAATGCTAATCAATGGGTCATTGGAGCCTCATCCCATATAATTAATGATGCTTCACGGATCAAATCAGCACGGGTTGAGTCTTTTTTGAAGTTACAAACCGAATGTTGATCAGGATCAAAAGGAATCTTGAAAGTCGAATGTGCAATTTTACCCCCAAGCAATAATAAAGCAGCAATTCCCGATGAAGCCACGGAGAGCACGATCTTTCTTTCGGATCTGAATTTCGCAATCAGAGTGTTCCACGGGTATGTATTTCCTGTCCCACCACTACCGTAGACAAAAAATAGGCCACCTACATCTCGAGAATGAGCATCAAGTATTGCAGCATATACTCTATATTGATTCGTGTTTAACCCTCTAACTAAGGTATCAAATATGTTGGCTTCATCATGTGTATCATAATCAAGTTCATCTCTTATCAACCGATTTAAGGCATTGCGTGCTATCTCTGAAGAAGGTTGTGGCATGTCAAGGAAATTTGTCAATGACCTTCCAAGTTTATTCAAGATATGATCAATCTCTTGTAATCCTTGATTCTGCATCTCTTCGAGAGTTAATCGTAAGTCAGGGTTTCTAGTTTGACATTGCATCATTCTCTCAAGGTCATCAATAAGTGCACCTCAATGTTGTTCCCACAACTGTTTCTGATCACTTACTTCTGAAAACATCAATATGGTGCAAAACATGTTTCTCAACTGTGAACCTAATGCCCAGTTAGAGGCTTCTGACAAAGTTTCATGCCACTCATTATTGTCATCAAGCAACCCTAAGGCATGACATGCGGCTCTGAAGGTAGGGTGGATGACACCATCAACAATTCGTATATCTTAAAAAGATTCTGCTTCACAAACCTTAGTTAAAAGCAGCCATAAGTAATATCGTTCCCCAGAATTTGGATGAACAAAAGGCAATCTACCAATGCAAGGTCTTTCTTGCCGTTGTGCCCACCTTTTGTTAGAACAATCCCATTTGAATCCCATTGAAAATTTTTGGTAAGTGTATTGATTTGCTTCTGGTTTATCCTTGTTAGCGTGAAACCACATAGTTAACATGGTTTGTTGCAATCTCGGTCGTTCAAGGACTGTGTGCAGATCATCATTATCATTAAAAACTACAAATTGTTCACCAGGTAGATGAAACTGAAGTAGTTCCGTTGAAGGATATTAATGTTGCAAATCAAACTCATATATTCTCCGGCATGCTTCAATGGATGATACATATCGACAATCTAAGTATTGTTTTATCTCATCCACTCTATTTCCTTGTCGTACTTCTTGACCACGTCGTGTGGTTGAATTGTTTTCAATGACAACCGTTGCTCGATCTTGGCCTTTAGTAACATACTTGTATAGATACTTCACCACACTTCTCGTAGCAACACGCTCAACATTTATGTGTGCATTGTACTTAACACATAGATCTCTGTTGTATGGTACCACCCAGTGATTATCCACCTCCCTTCCATTAACAATAATGGGCTTTATATTTTGTCTACGTCTATACTGCACAAAGCCATTATCATCAAAGGTGGTTTTAGCACAAAATTTCTTCGGGAAATGCTTTGAACGCTTTCCATCTATTAAACATGGCCTAGATGGTCCATGGAGCATGTTCTTGGTAACTATTTCATATGCTAAAGGATCTCTATCCTTGTCAGGGATTTCCGCAAAAATAATTACATCAATATCCTCTGGACACTTAGGCTTATCTTCTAGAGCCAATGTTTTTTGAGAACATGCGCATGTGGAAGTCCGCACTTTAGAAATTCAATGACATAAAAATCTATAACATGAAATATGTCACATGTAAAATAATTAGATATGTCAAGAAATATAGTACGATTATATAATTAATCAACAAACTCACCAGCAATGACTTTTCCAAACTTCTTGTTATCCTTCAAATTGCGAAGCATTTGTTTCAATTTAATCTTGAAAACACATGCTACAATGTCTGGTCTATCTTCAGTGCGGCGACTTCCACGTGTAGATATCTCATTTACAATCTCAAGCCAGTTTGTATTGCAAGTGAAAGTTATAAATAAATCAGGCGGACCCAAAACACGAACAATTGCCATAACATCTTGATAATGATGGGCCATATTACGAGGGCTTCGTGTGAAGGATGATGTTAATATGAATAATCGGCCTATATCGGTAGCATTGACATCTCCAGCCGTGATTGCATCTTGGGGTCCACTGTATAAATCAGAGAAAAGCCTACCTTGATTTCTCCTTATCCAAAATAATCGATATTGATCCATTGTAGTGTATGCATCAACAGCAAATTGTTGCAATAAGCGGCCGACATCTATTAAGGTGTCACCCTCTTCTTCCCTATCATGTATCCTAAATGCATATAATTGTCGCATTGTCACAGTATTTCGACTGTTACATGTACTTGACACCTTAGGTATCCCAACTCTCCATCCATCGGTACCATATTGAAATAGTAGTGGGTATTGTAAAGGCATATAACTTGGCTGAATTTCATCAATCCTTTGTAACCCACCATCTATTTTTTTCAATATGATATCCCGATTACCTATGTCTTCAGTTCCATCACCTACCATCAATGCAGCCACTCACAGTTGGTTAGATATATTGTCTGCCTTCTCTTGCGCAAATAAGCCTTATTCTCAAATCTTGATGCTCACCTTGATCGCGCAACATACTGCAACATAAGGATTTATATTATCAAACATCGTTTGTAGTCCTTGTAAAATTCTTAGATCTAAGGAAGAAGCCTCTGCACCCCCCATGTAATGTAGCCGATTCTGAAGACTGCAACATAAGGATTTATATTATCAATCATTGTTTGTAGTCCTTGTAAAATTCTTAGATCTAAGGAAGAAGCCTCTGCACCCCCCATGTAATGTAGCCGATTGGATGTTTCTTTGTCAGTGTCATAAATGTACAACTGTGCAAACTTTGGTCCAGTTCCAGGCTCAGGGAGTAAAGTTCCAATTCGATGGTAATTGCTACCACTTATATGATAGACATAGGGACCTCTACCATCATTAACTGTGTTATCAATCCGACTGCCTATAGAGGTGAAAGCTAACAGAGAGTTAAAAGCACTAATATTGTTTCGAAATTGTTGATATGGAAAAATTGACATCAGTAATGGTGGTGTCAAAGGTCAAACTTGCCCACTTTGACAACAATGATAGAACCTTGGGTGTGTTTTACTGCTACCCTTTACCCTTTCTTCTATCCACATAAGGGCCTTGCAATTAGGACACACAATTGTTCTAGGTCCAAACTCCCAACGTCTATCAAACTCACCTCTACGATATTGATGAGTCACTTCTACATGAAAATGATTTATTTGAGTGAATCTCAAATTAACAATATTGATATCAATAATGTGTGTGGTTAAGTAGCTTGGCAAGGTGGTTACCTTTCCCTGCAACAATTTGCTCATCATGTCTAGCACCATATTCTATCCCATTATTAAGAGAGCCTTCTGGAATCAAAGTTTATAAAATTTTAATATAATCCTTAGTCAGGTATTAGTATTCTAAGGTAATGGTTTTTATAAGTACCATTCATGTTGATCCCATTGGGTAATTGTTCCACTTCACGTGTCACATCTTGATATCGATGTGTAGATTGACGTAATTGCATCGTTAGTAATCGCAATGATCGTGCTTCTTTCTCCAATAAGTAACGACGTCGCTTAAAAATAGGATCTTCATGGTTTGTAGTGCATTTGAATAGTAACCTTTGCCTAACAGCTAATCTAGCTTGTTTATGTTGCAAAATCTCTCTAAATCAATAATTACTTGTACTTATGTCCATTCTTATCTATTAATTATACAATAACCAAGAAGGAAATATATTAGAGCCGATATTATAGTTTGAACAATCATCAATTAATAAATTAAGTTGTAACAATTTAGTTTTTCGTGTTAGTAGTTTTACATTGACATGTTTTATTTTATCTAAGTTGTTAACTTATATTATTGTTAGTGGACCAACTCAACCAAAAGCTTAAAATGATAGTGGAGGCTAATGAATATGTTTTATACACTATCATTATATTTATATATTTAAATTCACCCATTTTATTTTGTATGTGTAGACTTATATTTATACTTCGTTTTCGTAAGTAATTAAACAATATATAAAAACTATTAATCAATATTCTTAATAATTACATGTTACGTTGTATAATCCTATTTTATATCTATACAATGTAAAGTGACATATTGTATAACATGCCCAATACAACAGACAAAAAAAAAGTCTCAATTCACCTAAATATCCATGCTCATTCACATTACCAAAATTAAAGGAAAATTACTGTATATATACTTGTAAGGTCTAGTAAGATAAAGGTGAAAAGCAGTCAACTTATCTATATACTGTAAAAAAGACCATAAATAAAAAAGATTAATAGATCATTCCAATATCTCTAAATAAATAAAGATTAATGGATCGCTTAAAAATTTGTGTTGATGAAAAATAAAATACCAAAGTGAATTTACGATTTAAAATTGATTAGACGAAGCTAGATTACCATACATAAGTGAATTTGTTTATGATTGTATTGTGTAGTATATATATATTTGTGTAATTAATAAAATGAATTTGTCTCCGTATAATAGGGTGGATTGATGTGGGTATTTTATGAGTAGTTACCTTTTTACGGTTTGAAATCGTATAATTTTGAAAATTGGGGTGGCATTATAAATCCCATATATAAAGTGAAAAGGGGTTTTGGGTGTTAAATTTCACTTTCCCAAATTACCACTCTAAAAACATTTTTCTAAAAACTATCATCATAAATTAAAAAAAAATCCACCACCATGTCCTAAGTTTTTAAGATAATACAAAGTATATAAATATATAAGTACTTATTATACTCTAAATTCATCAAATGCTTTTTTTTAATTCTTGTATATAGTATATATAAAGTGAAGAGGGATTTTGGGTGATAAATTTCACTTTCCCAAATTACCACTGTAAACATATTTCTACAAAATACTATCATCATAAATCTAAAAAAATCCACCATCGTATCCTACGTTTTTAATATAATACAATGTATAATTATATAAGTACTTATTATACTCTAAATTCATTAAATGTTTTTTTTAATAGCAATTTTTAATTTTATAACTCTATAAATTCATCAACCCCTATCTTTTTTTTCTTAAATATTTAGATAGCCACAGGATTTGTATTAATCATGTGGTTTGAAATTTGGTGCCACGTTTCATTGTTGAGTACGTGTTGTTAGTAAATGGTTTGTTTTTTAAATATATTTATATGTCCACTGTATAAAAATTAGGTGATTTTTTCTCCATAGGTTATTTTAAGTTACATATGCATTATAACGGCAATTGCAATATAATATGTAAAATCATCATCGATAAATTATAATTTATACAGCACAATGAAAGTCTTAGTAATCCTCCCCAGATAAAATAAAAAAAAATAAAAAATAAAAAAAAGTCTTAGTAATCCACCAGCATGCAAAATACTTCGTACAGCAAAGGAATATATAATTACATAGATATAAATCTTCATTAGTA